CCTAGCAACGGGGCCCGCGGGCGATTGGGACGACTATAAATGAGCAATGTAAATGTGCCAAGCCAGTCCTGGCTTTGCTTGTAACTGTTACGTTACGCACGAGTAAACCTCTTTTGTGAACCACACGTGTCACAGGAGTTTCTCTTGTCGAACGGGGCAAATCTTACATACAAGACCTCAAAGAAGCAACTGCTACCCAACAATCCTTAGCAAACCGCTGTTCACTGAATCACAAAGAATCAGAAGTGACTGAACCACAAGGACCTTTAGTAGACGCTGGAATGTTTCAAACATAGTAAGTCTTGCTTTCACAAAGCTTTTCAAAAAGTAACCCATGTCTTTCTCATTAACAAGTGTGGGCTCAAGGACATGACCCTTACATGAACACACGGTAACTCAACATTGTACTCAGAGTGCTCATCAAATTGTGGCGAGATCTCAAGTGGGAAGCCGTAATTCTTAGTTTTGGCTCCTCTATGCTTCAATATTTTTACTAATGAGTTGGATGAAGATTTGGAGGGAATGCTGATCAGATCTGCAGATGACACAAAAGTGGATAGTTTAGAGGACAGGAATGAATTTCAAAGCAACCTTGACAGGCCATAGAAATGGGCTGAAAGGAACAGAATGAAATTTAACGAAGACAAGTGCAGAGTTCTTCCCTTAGGAAACAAAAATCAGATGCATGGGTAGGGGATGGGGGATCCCTGTGGAAAAGATCTCGGAAGAGGAGCTGGCTGCAAACCAAGCATGGGCCAGCAGGCTGTGGGCTGCAAAACAGGCAGATGCGGTCTAGGGTTGCGGCAGCAGAAGTTTTCAAGCCACAGGAAGGAATCGTTCTATTTTATTCTGCTGTGCTCAGACCCCCTCTTGAGTGCTAATCCTATTTTTTAAGAAAAGTTCAGAGAAACTAGGAGAAGCACAACTAGGATGATCAGGGAACAAAAAAAACAAGGTCTTAAGAAAAGAGGCTGAAGAAGCTGAGCATATTTAACCTTGAGAAAAGTTTACCTTTCTCAAGGTAGGCAGGGAGAGAGCTGATGGCGCTCCTCAAATATTTGGAAAAGTTTCACACAGAACAAGGGCAAGACCTGGTTTCTCTTGTTCCAGAGTGCAGTGCAAGGAGTTAGAGGTTTAAGTTACAGCAGAACATTAGGAAAAACTTCCTAAGGGTGGAAGTCTGATAGCAGAACCCATAACCCGGGAGTGGGGAGGGGGGACTCCCTTCACTGGAGGCAGCGGTTGGACAGCCATCCATCAGTCAGGGATGCTTGAATTTGGATTCCTGCAACGAGCAGGGGTTGGACTGGGTGGCTCCAGGGGGCCCTTCCTGGCAGTATTTCAAAAAAACGCCCGATCACCTCAAGGAAGACTTTCTTGTGACTCTGTTCTGTCTCCTGAGTTAAAACCAGCCACTTCAAATGCAAGTGCGACTCCCATTCCTGCAAACCCAAAGCACAACAGGAGCGCCATCGAGTTTGGAGCAGTTTTAAGAGGCACCAATCCAATGGTTCTCCCAGGACAAGACGACGTTTTTGAGCTACTCACTGGTTAGAAGTCTGACAGTCAATCCTTTTGCTCAGAATTGAAATCTCAACAAAATTAAAGTAAAACAATTATAACCAAAGAAAATGATTCACAGTAACCGTTTTTTAGAAATCCAAAATTGCCATGCCAAGAACGTAAACAATCAGCCGTCAAGGCAAATCCCACTGACGACAGGTTCATCCCTATTGCAAGCAGCCCACAAAAAAATCCGCACCACTCGGCTCTCTCAAGAGCTAAATCTAACACAAACTGGGATACGGGGGGAACCGGGGCAATAAAGTAAGCAGTGAGGGCCCTCCCGCATCAGGGTCAAATCCTTGCAAAAGGGCCAGGAACAGGGGCATCTGGATGAAAGAAACACCATCCGTGCAGGCAGAGCAACAGGACTGTAGCCCTCACATCCCAAGGGGGCCTCAGAGAAGGTGGCCTGATCCAGCCTGCTCTTTTCTATCCTAATGCCCCCCCACCCCACCCCACCCCACCCCACCCCGAGCAGGGATACTGAGAGAGACTGTAGGGCGGAGAGTTTGGCCAAGCTTTAGGGGGAGTTTTCCTAGCTTGCCATCAGGCCAGCAGCCAAGATCAGCCCGTCACCCCCGCAATGTAGTCCAGACAGGAAACCAAAACCATGGGTAGTGAAGACTACCTTTATTGCCTGGTTACAGGAAGAGAATCTTGCAAGTCTGAAAGTGGTTCCACCCTCCCCCGCCTTTACTTTCCAGAGAACTCGGGAGGGTCTCTTCTGGGAAGTTTTCTCACGCCCCCATCCCTCCTCTGGACTCAGATTTCCCTCCTCAGACCGCTACCTAGGCTGCAGCTCTTCCTCCTGTCTCCCAAGGTTATTCTTGCAGACCATTACAGTCCCCAAAGCGCAACAGAGAGGGCAGCCTTTGGTCTTTTTGGAGCAAAGAGGCTCTTTGTGGCTGTCTTTGTTCTTGAACCAGGATATACCAATGTTAAAACAGACACGTTCCTTCCTCCCTGTCCTTCTGCAAAAGAGCGGGCAACTGTTCACGCCAGAGGGGCTCTAAGGGCTGCTCAGCCGCCCTTCCGGTGGGGTTGGGCCCATGGCCTTCTGGGTCTAGCTGCTGCTGCTGCTGGGTAGGAAAGGGCAGACTGGCCAGGCTGATCTCCACCCGGATCCATCAGCCCTCAGGGCTCTCGGCTTCCTCCTCAGGCCACCTCCTTCTGGCCAGCTCCCTTGCTTTGCCATCAGGGCCAGTCAACAAGGAGGGTGCATGCAGTCAGAGGGGCCTTGCAGAGCCTTACCTGTCAAGGGAGATCCTCCTTCTGAGTCCAAGGGCACAGCAGAGGCTGGCTTCCTAAAATGACCAGAGTAAAACAAAGACATTAACCAAGTTTGCGGGTCTCCTGCTTCAAGAATTCACACATCTGACAGAGAACCACCCTCCCAATGTTTGGACTACAACTGCCACCAGTCACAGTCCTGTGCCAGTGGCAGAGGGGTGACCCCAAATACCTGGAGGATGCCTACCTCAACATGGATCCCATACTGCTGGGCCAACTCCCACCAACTCGTGGTCAGCTGCCCAAGAAAACAGGGCGGCCCGGACGCAGCACCCAAGAGCTCCTGCTGAGCAGAGGCAGAAGAGGTCCTCGGGCAGAACCCGGACTGAAGGAGTGTCCCAGCAGGATCGGAAGCTGCCTGGGGCCAGCTCAAGAGTTCACCACCCAGGGATCCCGCCCCCTGCTCGGCTGCACACAGCGCCTGCCCCATTAGGAGGTCTAAAATCTCTGAGGGGTTATACAAGGCAAGGGAGCGGGTCCCCCCAACAGCTCAGCACCCTCCTCCTCCCTTCTGGCCAGCTGCTGGGCCTCCCAGGTTCTCCCCACTGCTGCCCGGCCTCTTAAGCCGCACAGACTCAAGTCGGTCAGGTGCAAGACAGGGGACCGAAAAGACACTGTTCAGCCAGCTGCTCCCCCAGGCGAAAGGAGAGCAAGCAGCCTCCGCAGCAATGGCACAAGGGCTCAGTGCTGGCTTCCTGATTCTCCTGCAGAGTCTTCTGCTGCAGCCATGGCCTAATCAGAAGCCAGACCACGAGGGAGGCCCCTCAGATACAGCTCAGATGCAGAGCAGAGGTCTGCCTGGCCCTGCAAGCGTTGGCGGACTGCAACGAGCTCCAGATCAGGAAACAGCCTATCGGCTGCAAGTGGACTAAGGGGAAGCCATTTTATCCGACAGGGCCCTTCAAATACTTCCAAGTCAGGATAAGCAGGAATAAAACCCTGTGGATCAGTCTACTGGACACCAGGAGAAGGCAATTGCCCTCGAAATGCCAAGTTGGAATGTACAGAGCGTAAGGGCTCATAGTCAAGAACAAAAGCAGGATCTGAACCATTTGCAGGGGTCACCTAGCGGATTAGTATTCAAAGACATTGCCTAAAAATCTATAGAAACACAGAGACAACCTTGGAGAAGCTATGAAAAAACAGTCATAGAAAAAAAGCAGGAAACAGATAAACTGTGAGAAAGGAGCTCAGACTGGCTCTCCCTAATTCACTGGGTATAAGAGGGAAGGAAGGGAAAACTCAGTTTGGCTTTCAGGATTCTGTTATTATGGCCTCAATCAGTGTTCCTCAACCTCAGCACCTGTAAGATATGTGGACTTCAACTCCCAGAGTTCCCCAGCCAGCATTCCATTCTGGGAGTTGAAGTCCACACGTCTTAAAGTCACCAAGATTGAGAAACACTGGCCTAGATCACCAAAGTAGAGCTCCAGGCAGACTTGTGGACTTTGGAGGGCTGACTAAATCAAGGGTTTGGACCTGCACGCCAGGTTCTGCTGACAGAGAAAGGGGGAGCCCAAAAGCTGCTTTCCCTTTTATTGAAGACCCTTCCAATTGCGTAGATGATGTGCCTCTGAATGAGTCTACGGATAAACAGAGATGCTGCTATAGAGTCTTGATGCTGAAGGGCTAGCTGTAGAATGCTGAATTTACAAGACCCTGTATTCTCTGTGGGGATTTTAACCATCTTAGTTTCCTATGGGACAAGTGTAAAAATGATAGAAATGGAGAAAAGGCATATGAGTTGCGTTCACTGGTTTCTCTTGAGGACAGAAAGCCCGCTCAGCTGATTCCTTCACAAGAGATGTTTCAGGTGGACTCTAAAGATACAGTTGATAAAGTTCTTTTCTTATCCAAGGTAGGTATGTATGTACTTACAATGTAAATTTCTAGGGCTGCCCACCTGCCAATGACTCTGGACAGTGTACAAGGATTACAACAATAATTTAAAACCACAAATAAAACTCACACTGGGGGAGAAAAAATGAACCATTAACACGAACCATTAACATCTTGCCAGAAACCACCAGGCCAGGGCCAAATACCGCAGGCTCAGGGCTGCCAAGTTCCATGACAGAAAGGCATGCCTCCTGGGACCATAACACGGCACACTTAAGAGATGGGGCCGAAGCACGCCAGCCCTGTCGGATCTTACGGACGGAGACGGGGGAGAAAATGGCCCTGTGGATGTCCAGGCCCTGCACCCTGGAGGGCTTTGCAGGTAACACCAGCACCTCGAATTGCACCCAGGAGTTCACTGGCAACCGTGCAGCTCACGGTTCCAAGGGCCTGCTGTGAGTTTTATAACAAAACAGTCTTCAGATTTTCCCTGGTCAGTGGCAATGAAAGGACTCTTGTTCTGGTGTCTCTGCCAAGAGAATGGCTTAAACGGACCAGGCCAAGTAGCTGTGCATTTGCCACAGACTGCTCTTTCTTGTGGCTGCCGTTGCTCAGCCCCCGGGCAGAGGCTGGCATCCCTGGCAGGGCTGTAGGGCTCATCCAGCCCTCTCCCACGGCCCGGCAGGAGAAAGGAGGGTCAGGGATGGGTGCTACAGGAAGCCTGCAGTGGATCGCCCTTCTCTTCCAGCCCCCCCCCCCCCCCC